CGGCCGGATGAACCCGGCCCATCGGACGGCCGAGAAAGTTGGGGGGAATTGGAGACTCGCGCCGCCCTCGCTGCATGACTCAGTGAGTTGAGCGCAGGCCGGCGCGGCGCGCGCGGCATGCAGCTAGCGCTAGCTGGACCAAGGAGCCTTTTCTTGCACCACAGGGTTTACCAGGGTTTCCAAAACAAGCAATCACAGCCGCGCACTTGGCAGATATTTGCAAACCGTTTCTAGCCAACGCGTGGACAGAGAGCCTCAAAGCCGACGTGTTTTGCAGCTTCTGATTGGCTGCCATCAAGACACGGGCCCGGCCAGCTAATTGGGAAGCAAGAAACGTCTGGAAGTTTAGGCTCTGTTTGCTGACCTGTACAGGTAACGCTACCTTGGGCATGGAAACTGCCAGACTTTAGGCTCCAGATTTGAGCCTGAGACTCAGAGTGTAGCAAGCAGCCCAGAACTGCAGGGCATTTCCCAGGGCCACAGCTGGAACCACTGCAGCTGGAGCTCAAATTCTCAGTCACCTATTCGAAGCTCGATTTAAGGCCCAGGGCGCCCATTTCCAGAAGCACTTTCCTCTTCCATTTTGCCAGAGCCAAGCAGTTTTGTGTCATCTAAGCTTCTAGCCGCCAGCGAAGCGACTGCAGGAACTGCCTCTTGACGACATCACAGTAAGGTGACGGTTGGTGTGGACAGAGCTGCCGGAGCGACATCAAGTTCAAGGGAGTCAGCGGTCTAACGCATGTAGTTCACCTGCGTAGTGCCTTTTACATCGTGATGCATCTTGTTTCTCAGTTCGCTGTCAAGCTTGATTTTGATAGGTCGTGGCCACTTATTGTACCTCATTGGCTCTTCTCTGTTCATTTGCATCTTGGTGTTTCATCAGAGCCGTAGAAGGTCAAGAAGGCGTGGGGTTTTTGTTTAGAATGCTTAAGGGCGTCCTGAAGAAGGTTTCAGCGCCTTCCATAGTTTATCCTTGTAGATAATTGTGGGGGCAGAATGTCGTCTATACTTCCCTTTACTTCCTCAGGTTGTAGCATTAGGTGCCAGGATTTTTTCAAACAGTGACAGTTGTATGCCCTGATCGTGAGAGTGTTCCAGTGGGCGTCAGATCAAATCAGGTTGACTTTCCTTCGACGGGGATCCTCTCAGAGACGGATTCTGACCTTGAATTGCGGCCGCCCCTCTTTCACCTGTCGTTGACTTCCATCGTAGTTGAAGTAGAGGGGTAGACTTCTCTGTGAGATCAGCTATTGATTGGCTTGAGTCTCCTTTGTCAATTGCTGCTCTGCCTTCATTTGTGGAACGTGGGCTTGGCAAAGCTGCTTGCTCTTACATTTCTCCCAGCTTCGCAAATGCTAGTTTCCCTGCGAGTCAGGAAAGATGAACGTTGCATTACTCTGAACTAAAAGAGAGTTTCTTGATCTTGCAGGTGCGTCTGAATCACCAGTACTTCACCCCCGCCGGCATGAACGTTGCCGCAACAGCCCCCACGTCCAACTCTCCTGGGGGCTCCAACCAGCAGATACCCGCGCCCCCCACCGGAGAGACTCCCGCTCCACCAACAACCGTCATGGGTGGGGGTGCAGCCTTTCCTGATCCTGCAACTCAGCCCGAGGCGCCAGTCTTCAACGCTGAGAACCCCCCCCCTCAGGCGGCCCCCTTCGGAGGCCCCGCCCCTGAGCACATCTACTGGCAATACCCCAGCGCGTATCCTGGTTTCTGCCGTGGGGGTTGGGGGGTAGGCATCGTGGCAGGGGGGGTCGGGGCTGGGGGCATCACTTCGCAGGACACCCCCCTCCCCCCCCTTTCGGCCCTCCAGGTTATGGACCCCCACCCCATGAGTCAGAGCACTCCACCCCTCCCTATCATGGAGGCCCCCTGCCC